ATGCCTCTCAGCAAATTTATTTGGGTGTCTACTGTCCAAAAAAGGGACATTTGGGTTTTTTTTGTGCTGCCCTGGTATTTTAGCACCTGAAGAATTGAGGTCAGAAAGTAAAAGCTGTGTAAATTCCAATATACATACCACAGTTTGAAGAAGCTATAACTTTCACACAAAGCCATTAATATTCATGTACTGTTTTTTTTTTTTTTTACCAAATACATGTAACAGAATACATATTGGCCTAAATGTATGACTAACTGAGTTCACTATATATTTTTATAATAAAAAAAAAAATTGGGGTTTTTTCAACATTTTCAGTCGTTTTTCATTTATATCACAAAAAAAACCCATTGGTGATCAAATACCACCAAAAGAAAGCTCTATTTGTGAGAAAAAAGGAAATAAATTTAGTTTGGGTACAGCATTGCATGACCGCGCAGTTACCAGTTGAAATAACGCAGTACCTAATAGCAAAAAATTGCCTGGTCATTAAGAGGGGTAAATCTTCTGGAGGTAAGTGGTTAATAAAGATGGACGTGTTAGACAATATTGACAGGCTACCTTTCTGCTTAGTGTAAATTCAAAGATCATTTGGATCTTCTATTGCCAACAGTAGGTAACTAAGCACAAAAAGGTATTTGCATTGAGAATGTGTGGTTCAAAGTCTACTTGAGAGAAGTTATTGAGCCATATAAGTTTGCTGGACATTTTAATAGCTTTTGCACATTTTGAAGCTGGTGACTTGATAACACGAGTTAATTGTTAATCAAAATCACCTAGCAAAGTTCACTGAATTCAATATGATTCTATGCTATGTTCATTTACCTTCCACTTCACAGTGAGATTATCTATTTTTTAGCTGAAAATGGGCTCTCTGTATCTAACACTCTGGTGCTTATTACTTATTATCTTTTATTTGAACAGCTTTGTTTGTGGGAGACACATATTAGTAAAGTTGTATTCTGCAGAAGATAGCAGCTTTTTTAGGAGCACCAGAGCCAAAAGATCACTGGACATTGAAAGTTATTGTAGGAAATATGGCTGTTGCGACAGCAGAAATGATGACTGCAATGCATATTACATCAGTAAAAATGCAACGTGTTATTGTGACACATTTTTGTGACCAGGAGGCACTGGGACACATAGATTGCTGCCCAGATTTTTGGACAGTTTGCGCTGGACAAAATCTAGAGAAGACTACGACAACAAAGGCTCAATTTACTGCGACCCTCGACTTTGCTGATAAACCTGGTAAGGAAATTATTTTGCTAACACAATTATTATTGAATGTTGTCTGCAAAATGAACTGTCAATCTGATAGTATGGTTTACTCTTAGATTCAGGAATGACTAAATTGGAATAAAATCAGTTAAGGTCAAAGACTGTTATATGACAAAAAGAAAGCAGACAGATGAAAACTCAAGACATGGAAACAGAACATGCCATTTCAATCACACATGAGACTCCAAAGACTGAATGTTTAAATTTATCATTGTCATTCTGTAGTTTAGTTACTAATGCAGGAGTTACACATAATGCATGAATAAATCCGACCATTACATTTTTTCTGTATAGACTAAACATATATGTTATATTTTATTGTGCATTTCATAGAAGAGTTATATGCCAGATATAGAAATTGCCTGCATATATACTATCATGGCTACCTCATAGGATGCTAAATCTTTACAAATATGTCCCAGTGATGCCCATTATATGTATATTCCTAGCAATATGCTGTTCCATTTCTGGTGGGATATTTTACATCTCATTACTTTTAAGTATTAAATATTGGTCCCCACATTCACTTTGACTGTAACATAATGATTGCAGGCTCTGGTACATATACAGTAGGGAAAATAATTATTTGATCCCCTGCAGATGTTTGCCCACTTACAAAGAAATGATGGGTCTAGAACTTTTATCATAGGTGTATTTTAAGCGATGGAGACAGAATATCAACCAAAATTCCAGAAAAAAAACATGATACAAATATTATAAATTGAGTTGCAGTTCAATAAGCATTTGATCCCCAAGCAAAACATGACTTAGTACTCGGTGGAGGAACCCTTGTTGGCAAGCACAGAGGTAAAACATTTCTTGTAGTTTGTTACCAGGCTTGTACACATCTCAGGAGGGATTTTGGTTCACTATTCTCTACAGATCTTCTCTAAATTTTAAGGTTTCTTGGCTGTTCCTTGGCAACTCAAAGTTTGAGCTCCCTCCATAAATTTTCTATAGGATTAAGGTCTGGAGACTGGCTAGGCCACTCCTTAATGTACTTCTTCTTGATCCACTCCTTTGTTGCCTTGGTGGTATATGTTGGATCATTGTCATGCTGGAAGACCAATCCACGACCCAACTTCAGTGTTCTGGCTGAGGGAAGAAGGCTCTTATTCAAGATTTTGCAATACATGTCCCGTCCGTTGGCCCCTCAATGCGGCAAAGTTGGCCTGTACCTTTAGCAGAGAAACAGCCCCAGCTTGACTGTAGGGAAGGTGTTCTTCCTCCAAACAAGGCAAGTCGAGTTAAAGCCAAAGAGCTCAATTTTGGTCTCATCTGACCACAGCACTTTCTCCCAATCCTTCTCTGAATAATTTAGATGTTCATTGGCAAACTTCAGACTTGCCTGTACATATGCCTTCTTGAGGAGGGGGACCCTGATTTCAATCCATGGCAGCGTATTGTGCTACCATAGGTTTGTTTAGTGACTGTGGTCCCAACTGCTTTGAGAACATTCACAAGCATCTCCTGTGTAGTTATGGGCTGATCTCTCACTTTTCTTATGATCAAGTCACTATGAGGCGAAATCTTGCATGGAGCTCCAGACCGAGGGCGATTAATGGTTATTTTGTATTTCTTCTATTTGAAAATAATCACTCCAATAGTTGTTTCCTTCTCACCAAGCTTCTTGCTGATGGTTTTGTAGCCCATTCCAGCCTTGTGCAAGTTTACAGTCTTGTCCCTGATGTCCTTTAACAGCTCTTTGGTGTTGCCCATCATGGTGAGGTGGAAGAAAGAGTGTCAAAAGTTAGCCTGCAGCCTCTTGTTTGTTTAGTCTTACCTCCTTGCTGTTCCTGTTTCCTTCACATGTGTGTTGTCTGTGCTCACCTGTGGGCGTCATCTGCTATCCTCTGGCTTTATGCCCTTCCCTTCCATCACTTCTTGGCCCGCCTTCTAGCTGGCTTGTCTATTTAAGACATGCTCAGTCTGTCTCACTTTGCCTGAGCAACGTCTGTTGTCGGAGCTCCCACGTGTTTTACGTGTGAATCCTATTAAGTCTATCTGTGTACCAACCCCAGCTTCGTTCCTGACCTTGCTTGTTTGCCACCTGTCCTAACCTTGGCTTGCCTACTGGATTTCCCTGTGTCTACTCCCATTGTACCCTGCTCCTGCTAGCGGTCTCCTCTACCTCAGCTGGGTGTACCTGTGGGCCACGACCTGGTCCCAGCCTGCTCCAAGTCCATCCCCACCATCAGGGGCCCTTGTGAACAAGAAGGCTGGGGCTTAGACTCCGCACCCTGGGGAACCCCAAGTTGTGGATCAGAGAGCTCACTACCACAGGTGCTGACAAAGAGATTCTGTGGGCAGGTGTCTTTTATACACATAATGAGTTGTTGCTAGGAGCACCTTCGTAAATTGACAGGACTAATTTGTGTACCACATGAGCCCATGGCCAGTCTGTGGGAGCCAGAATTATTGATGGTTGGTAGGGGATCAAATACTTATTTTACTCACTGAACTGCAACTCAGTTTAGAACATTTGTATCGTGTTTTTTCTGGATTTTCTGTCTCTATTATTTGAAAATATGCCTTTGATAAAAATTATAGACCCTTAATTTCTTTGTAATTGGGCAAATTTACAAAATCTGCAGGGGATTAAATAATTATTTTCCCCACTGTAATCTAATTCAGTCATAACACTGGGAGATAAACTTTGCTATAGATTGTGAAATGATTCTACAGAGGTGTAGATTAACCTCTGACAACTAGTTTAGGCAGTAAACAGTTGCTTAATAAAAAGTGCAGGCACATCATTAGTTATGTCCAGTGAGGTACATGACACCTCCTGGGCTTATCTCTATTATTTACATCTTCTTTGTTTCTTTGTCAAAACAATATAAACAATATAAACAGCTGATCGCCCACGCAGGGGTGCCATGTAATAGACAACCGATGAGTAATTAAACAGGCAATGATCAAACATTTGAAAAACATTATTAGCAATATAGAGCCATCCAGAGGCCAAAGCTCTAACGTGGCTTTCATGGTTCAGGAACAATGCCTGAGTGATTAAACAGTGTACTATGTACTAGCAAAAAAATTAACAATAGCGTTTCAGTTAACCAGAGGAAATAGGTAGCCATGGATATGTAAGCCGTGTCCCAGGGTGGGCTCCCCAGGATACAGTGAAGTCATGAACGAGGAAAGCAACCCCAACACCAGCTTTTGCCACAACAGAATTTTACTTAGATGTGGCAAATAAACACAAGCACAAATGCTGGAAACATACAATAAATTTACATACACCCAGCCCAAAGGCTGAGACCCTTGTGCTGCACAGCACAGCGCCTTCTGATGGATGAAGGTAGAAAGTGAAGTAATTTACCTACTGGCGGGCACAACTAAGCTGCCACACCTTACCTGTTATTACCCTAAAAGAGCAGGAATCAGTGTATGGGTGTATGGTATGGGCTAGCCTGCGGTGCAGCACAACAGCTTACAATCTTACACAAATCTACAGTATTTCCTCTCCCATAACTGGTCCTGTAGCACGTGCCTGAGTATTCCTTCTGAGCAAAACGCCAGTCTGGCTTGAGTTTGTAGGATTTTATCAGCTCTACAATGTGAAATGTCACTTTAAGTTGTGGAGTCCTTCCAATGATCAGTAACAACACTTGTGGCCTGACACAGAGACCCTAACTAACTAACTATAGGCCTGGACTCAGTCTCAAGGCGCCAACACTGAAATGAGGTGCGTTCACGATCTTACCGACCCAGGTCTGCTTTGCATCCGCTGGTGACTCTAAACAGAACAAATGTCTCTCCAACAAGCATGCGGTCTCGCCGTATATGTTGCTTAGTTCCTCTGCTCTCATCAGCCTTCCTGGCAGCAATTTCATCAGCATTCCTAGCAGCAATCTCATCAGCTTCCTGGCAGCAATCTCATCAGCTTCACTTAGCTGCAGCTCTGGTTACGGAGGGACGCTTTCACACCTGGATGTCATCAGATTCTCAGCTCACAGGGCCCCTTATTCACCATGCTCCAAAACATGGCTTCTCTCTCTCCTCTGTGTGAAAACTCCCTCTTCATGAATATAGAAATCTCTATGCAGTCTGAGGCTGTGTTAGAAAATCAGTGACATCTTGTGGCTAAACTGCAGAATGTCAGTCAAAACATTTAATTTACTCCACACAAGCAGTATTCAAACAATGAGAGCTGTTTCCCCATCTCACAGATATAAAGAACGAAAAAGAGAAAAGAGAAGAGAAATTGACAATCAGAAAGCAAGAAGAAGGAAGAAAGAAGAGTTTTTCTCCCACAACCCAGAAAAAAACCACGAAGCTAGAGAGCCCCAAAACCAATGGAGATAGACTGAGGAACTCATATATCCACCAAGGACGCCAGATATTCAAGAATTTAGTGCGAGTATCAACAACAATACTGGTCATTTTTTCATGTAACATCAGAGTGGTCAGAGTAGGCTTAACCTTACAGAAAGGAACAGAGGGTGATCTCCAACCCTTGGCAATAACCCGTTTTGAGGCTATAAGGACGAAAGTCACAGGCTTCTGCTGCTGTGCGTGCAAACAGACCCATATCTGTGTCCACTGAAGTAATGCCACTTTCACGTCTTTCCGAATGGAAAAATGGAATGTAGTAGGTCAAAAACTCTGGACCAGAACCCAACTCAATGAGAACATGACCACCAAATGTGAAGTACATCCCCACGCATTCCACAGCATCTGTCCAAAAAGTTGGGATTGGCACATGCAATGCGAGCAGGCACCCAATACCAACGCAATAAAGCTTTATAAGCAGCCTCCATAGTCGCCATATTGAAAGAGCAATGGGATATAATTGGCCATACTTTACTCCATTCAGCTAGCTCCCAAGTCCCCCTCCCAACCTGAAACATAAGACAGAGAAGAAGAAGAAGTAGAATTAAGTTCAGAGTAGAAAAGAGAGATAGTGCCTGGGGACCCCGGAGACGTCAGACAGAGATGTTCAAATGCTAATGACCTATAAGGGAACTCAGAGGTCCGTCTAAGAGAAGATACCCAAAGGTGCAGCTGAAGGCAGCGATAAAATTCAGTTTGAGGGACCTGATACGTTTCCTGTAATGAAACCCAAAAGGGGAACGTTCGCGAAGAAAGGAAATGGCAAACTTGAGTAAAACCATGGTCAGACCACCATTTAAAGGCAGCCAGCTGGACCAGACCAGGGGGGAAAAGAGGGTCATTAAACAAAGACATTAGGAGTAGGTATGGAGACATGAGGCCACCTGAAGACCTAATAGAGTCCCAAAGCTTCCAATTATGTAACATGAGAGGGCTTAGCGTAGTGGGGCAGAGTGTATGAGGGAGCCACAGTAGGGTCTTGACTTGGATCGGGACACAATTAGGAAGTTCAAATGCTAATGACCTATAAGGGAACTCAGAGGTCCGTCTAAGAGAAGATACCCAAAGGTGCAGCTGAAGGCAGCGATAAAATTCAGACCTCTGAGTTCCCTTATAGGTCATTAGCATTTGAACTCCCTAATTGTGTCCCGATCCAAGTCAAGACCCTACTGTGGCTCCCTCATACACTCTGCCCCACTACGCTTGGTGTTATTTTGGACTCCAACCTATCCTTCCAGCCCCAAGTCCACTCTTTAACAAACTCGTGCAGACTCCACCTCCGCAACATCGCCAAAATCCGCACGTTCCTAACTCCAGAAACCACTAAACAGCTCATCCACTCCCTCATCATATCGCGACTCGACTACTGCAACTCCCTCCTCACTGGCCTGCCTCGCCGCTGGCTATCCCCGCTTCAGTCCATCCTGAATACGGCTGCCAGACTCATTCACCTTTCCAACCGCTCCGTTTCCGCCACCCCCCTCTGCCAATCCCTCCACTGGCTTCCGATTGCGCAACGGATCAAATTCAAAATCCTAACGCTGACATACAAAGCTGTCCACCATACTGCCCCGAACTACATCACTGACCTAATATCCAAGTACCGCCCAGCACGCACACTCCGCTCCTCACAAGACCTCCTTCTCTCTAGTTCCCTGGTCTCCTCCTCCCATGCCCGCCTCCAGGACTTCTCCAGGGTGTCACCCATCCTCTGGAACTCCCTGCCCCAACCCATCAGATTATCACCTACTCTCCTCTCCTTTAGGCGCACCCTGAAAACCCATCTCTTCAGGGAAGCCTACCCCGCCCCCTGCTAACTTGCCGACCTCCTCCACTCTTCCTACCACTCCATCCCCCACAGCTATCTCCTCCTGTGCCACCATCCCCCCCCTCCTAGATTGTAAGCTTGAAAGAGCAGGGCCCTCGATCCCCTCATGTTTTGCATTGTATTGGTATTGTTCTGTCACATGTTCTGTCCCCTTTGTAATGTACAGCGCTGAGCGAACTATTGGCGCTTTATAAATACTGTATAATAATAATAATAATAATAATAATAATAATTCCAAAAGAGTCCAAAGCGGGATATCCGACATTGCAAACAATAAGGTAAGTGGGGCTATCTGAGCCGCTTGGTAATATTTAACGATATTTGGAACCCCTAAACCCCCTTTAAGTCTATGAGAACACATAGAAAAGCACAAAACCCTCGGTCGCTTAAAGGCCCAAATAAAAGAAAGAATCATATTTTGTAATAGACGCAGAAAAAAGGAGGGGACAGGAATAGGCAACGTGCAAAAAAAAAAATTAGAGGATTTTAGGAAGTATGGTAATTTTTAAAGCATGTATACGATCAATCCAGGATAGTGAAGGGAACTGCCATGACTGCAGAAGGGAAGTAATAGTACGCAAAAGGGGGTAGTAGTTAGAGGAGAAGAGGGAGGAAAAGGATGCGGTTAGTTTAATTCCCAAATAATCAATAGAAGAGGATGCCTAATGACAACAGAAATATTGTTGGAGATGTAGAACCAAAAGAAGAAGATAGAGAAACATTAAGTGCTGTTTTATGTGGGTTGATCTGCAGACAGGAGATAGCGGAAAAACGGGAAAGCAAGTATTGCAAGGAAGTCAGAGGATTTGTCAAGGTTTTTTGCACATCGTCTGCAAAAAGATTCACTTTATATTGATGGCCGTCATAAGGGATCCCAGTAATATTATCATCTGATTGCTAGAGGTTCAAGGGCTAAAACAAATTAAACAGGGGATAAAGGGCAACCCTGCCTAGTGCCTTGTAGTATTGGAAAACGATCTGACAGCAAATTTGTATATTTCAAGCAGGCAGATTTGAAAGAATAAAGGGCCACAAATCAAAATAAGATATGATCTCCAAAACCCCATCGTTGCAAAACATAGCGCAGGGAATCCCAGTGTAGCACACCCTTGGGTTATATAGGTTCGGCTCCCACCTGAATCTGGGGACACCTCCGATTATACTCAGAACACTTCAACACTCTAAGAATATTTTTTATGGGCTTTATTGAAGAAGACAAACCCTGAAAAAGAACTAGCTGATTTAACACAGGTAACGTACATAAACACAGATACCACTTTGCATAACACAGTAAGAAGTCACAATTCACTCGCCAAAGACTCCAAAACTGACTAGTATCACACTGATTAGGCTGACATATGAGAGAGTGACATTGAAACATGCAACCAAAACTGTTAATGAGGTTTAGCAGCTTATTGACATTTGCTATAGCAGTAGTATCTAGAGCAGAAATGTCCTACCTAACCACTGGCCAGTGGGATGAAACTTAAAGTCTTTCAACGTTGCGGCTGTTTAATCAATGGAAGAGCGCTCACTCTCTGCATGGGAGAGTATTTGTAATCCAGGGGTAGCAGGATAGCACAGTCTCCTTTAAGCAGAATCTTCCAGTGAACATTGCAATAGAAGAAAAACAACACTTCAACAAATCTTTGCCATAAAGGTGAAATCCTGATATACTGACACTTGCTCAGTATATTCAAAGCAGAAAGCTTCTGTGGGGATTTGGAACTAAACACACTCTTCAGCCACAGCACAAGTTTTGAGGAGACAAACCAGTAGTATACAGTGACAGAGTTCTCTTATCAATCAGCAGCAGGAATAATTAATTCTGAACAGCTTGGGCTTTCCAAGATCTGTGTCACTCTGGGCTTTCTCATGACCATTCTCCAGAGATGAACAGCAAATACAGCAATATCAAAATCCCCTTTCATCACAGAGTACTCACTGTTTCTGGATTGTCCTCTAAATAGCATTAGACAGCAGTAGAAATCCTCTCTTTTTCAGCAGCTCCAGACTTTGAGAGACACATGCACTTGAGTGTAATCCTGAGTGGCTGTAATCCTGAGTGTCAGGCAGGACAATCCTTGATTTGCACACTGTCGTCCTGCAACAATTCCTCTGCTACACACTCCCAGTCCAGCCCAGTTTATGGGTTCCAGCAGCACAGAGAGTGAGACTCTGTGACTTTACACCAGGAGCCCTTGCATGTGCTTCTTCTTCCTTTTTTCTCTCTCCTTTCCTCCACAGCCAATCGTAAGTTCAGCTGCAACAGTGCTGCTATGGGTGGATCCTTCTCAGCTGTAGCAACAACCAATCAGAGCACAGTCCTGCTTTCCCTGTCTGTCACTCACAAAGAGGGAAAAGAAAAAAAATGCTTTGCAACTGCTGTTTAATATTTAAAGCAACCAGCACATCTCTACACCAGGACAGAGAGTCAAAAGCCTTTTGTCAAGTGATAAAAGAAATCCAGGGATCTTCCAACTATTCAAAATGTGTATCAGATGGATCACTTTCCTCACATTGTCCCCCACCTGTCCCCCACCTGCCAGCCTGGAACAAACCCCACCTGGTCTCTATGTATCAACTGCCGAAGATATTGGTTTATACAGACACTCAAAATCTTCCCTAGAAGCTTCACATCTTCATTTATTAAAGAAATTGGACGAAAATCACGGGGGTCTGAACTAGAATGCAAAGAATCTTTAGCTGAATCAGTCAAAGTTGGGAGATTAAGGTCCTGGAAAAAACGGTCAGTGAGGTCAGTCCGGAAAGGAGATACATCTGACCAGTTTATGGCACTATTAAAGATACACTCCAGGTTGTGAGAACAGCTATACCCACTCCCCCCTCTGCTGCCCATTTACAGAAGCTTTTGTATTTTTGAATGTGTT